TTGACAACGGTTTCGCACTTGCAATCTTTGGTTTTTGTTTTTTACACGCACTTGGGCGACGGTGTTATTGTTGGCATATTTCAGAGGCACCCGAGGAAAATCTGAGTGACGAAGACGGCTGTCTGGTGGGGGCCTGGAGTTCCTGGAGCAGCTGTGACGCGACGTGCGGGGAAGGGTATCGTCAGCGCTGGCGTGTGGTGACAGCCACGAAGCCAGGACTGGCTTGTGGACATTCTGTGGAACACAGGCGGTGCACCCGGTTGCCAGCGTGTCCGAGACCCGGAGATTTCCCCGAAGCTCAGCGATACAACATTGTTTGAAAGCATGAACAATCTTCTGATGGTGCTTGTGAATATAAGAGCATGCTTATGTCTCTTGTGTCTTCGTTTATAATTTCTACAGACGATTGGATTATCTGCAGTTTTTACTGATTCAGTAAATCCACCTATAGTGTAGTATCATATGTACAGCACTACTGTTGAACCTTGATAAATCGAACCTCTCTAAAGTAAAGTATAGCCCCCTAAGTCAAAAAATGTTTTCAAGTCTTTGTCTGAGCTCTGTCAGGATCAATGCGTTGAAAACCTCTCTAAATTGAAAGCTTTTCACCCTCAAACCTCCATAAGAAGAATTTTCTGGAGACCTTTTTTGGTATTGCTTCATGGATGCAGGAAAGAGACAAGCAATCAAAATGTAAGGATGTGCTTTGAACAGAAGTGAAAGATCAATTGGACGAATGAATCCTTGCCTCAAGTTTCAGCATCCTGTAAAACTCATACAGGAAACAATTTAAAGTAATTTTCTTTATTGTCTTTTAATTATGTCCCCCCAACAAAACGGAATGTTTGCATTCACAACATAGACGAAGAGAAAAATGTCTATATATATGTATGAGAATTGAATTACCTTCAGACCGAATTTGCATGATTTCTTTTATTTTCAGTGCACATGAAGCAAGATTTCTCGATCCGTGATTGAACACTGATTTCCAATTTCCTGGAATTTTTTTAAAAATCTCCATGGAATCATTTTAAAAGCTTAGAGCTCAAAATGGCGGTGAATTCAAGTAATGTACTCCCGTTGGTCCTTGTAATTTTTTCCTCTGCCCTTCACACTTCCACAAATCAATGCTGGTTCATAGAAAAAAGCAACAGAACATTAATTGAAACAGAGAATAAAATTTTAGCATATAACTGCATAGTGTATACTACTAAATATATTCTAAAGTTGTTGTTCTTTCACACTGAACATATCAGGAAATACTTCTTTGTCATGTACATTTTCTTCATGTTTCAAAGTTCCACAGCAAGACAAGCTAATATCTGTTTGATCAATAAACAGCGTCGAGGAAATGGGCCGAAGTTTAGTGGTAATTGACACGATATGGGGGCGTTTCCTTCCTGGATGTAGGAGGGATGTGTTCTTTTGTACTCATCTCTGCAAAAAATTACAGGGTGTGGAAAATACTGAAAATAAATTTTGCTCTTTTTGTCGTGGGACGCGCATTGCATAAATAACGGATGATTTTGGAAGTGTGGAAGCAACCAATCTTGACATCATTGCTGTCATGTCAATCATCACATTATTCATTGTTGATTCAATTTTCTTGACATTATTGTGGCTTCAATGTAAGCAGTTAACAGAGTTTCGGTTCATGAGCATGCAGCATTCATTATTGTTTTTTTTAAATAAAGCGGATATAATAAATCATATTTCAATAATTGGTTATAGTTCATTTTGATACCTTCCACCGGTTTACTTTTTTTGGGAATATTCGACACAGCATTCGTTTAAACGGCAATGTGCAGAAAACAATTTTCTTTGGATTTAGAAAATTTTCAGATGTTTATTTATTTATTTACGTCTATCTATTTTGTTGAATCAGGAATCCGGCAATATCATATTTGAGCTCGTACTGTATATTGAAGACTCGATCAACCAGCTCATCCGAAATTCAAATGTGAAGGATGGATTACTGAGGTGAATTTTTCTTTCTTTATACCTGCAGGTGGCAGAAAATGAAGCAGGAAACCTTGAGACCTTTGTATGTTGGGGTTCAGCTTTCCTTTTGTGTTTGCTTTACTTTGCTGCATGTGCAGGGCGGCTCCCGTGTGTCACGGGTTTGGGCTCATCTTTCCCTATACCATCATTCACTCTTCCGTGACCTGTTTCGGGTCCAGGGACCTCTCACCACTCAGGACAGGACCTCATTCTGTGCCAGAGAACCTGCGAAAACACAGCATTCTTTTAAACGTGATAGTGTCCGCCCAAGTGCCAATCTGAGAGCTTTCAATCCATTTTTTAAATGCGTTTCCATGTGAAATTGACAATTTTTGATACGGTTTAAAAGAATTTTCATTCAGAGGAGGAGAAATTTTGTGAATTTCGCAGCTGAGTTTCAATCGGTGTCGGAGAGACAAGTTTTAATGCAAGGCAGATCAGGATAATGTGTTTTACACTTGGTTCAAAAATTTCAAAGCCAGTTTCAAACAAGAGCATTTCGAAATTTCTGGGATAAGCTGTAAATCGAGACAAAATTGCGTTTCCATCCCTTTTAAATAATTTTTCTCGCATTTGCATCATAACTTCCATGCAGGCTCCTATGGATGTTAAAAAGGGTAAAAACTTGAAAATGTCGGGAGAAAATCATAAAAACCTTGTTCAAGGGGCAATATATAAAGTACTATCTTGAAATCCTTTTTTCCCCAGCATATTGCTGTAAAATTTGATTGATCAAATGAAGAATATATCTCTCATCAATTTAATGATAACACAGCTCATTCTTTATTGAAAGAGTTTTGCCCCTTGAGCTCTTGAGGTTAATCTCAAATTTTCTCATTAAATGAATAAATGCAACCAAAAATGTTTTCGTACTTTTTGTTACAGACGGATTCCGCTTCACATGAACTAGATTGCAAGGCTGGACATGGCTAGTAATTTGAAATCTATAATTATATTTTTCCTAGCCAATTTAATGCCTACTTTTCTGGCTACATCTTTTGAGAAGAACACGATTATAACTCGACATGGCCCAAAAACTGCGAAAGGTGAGATGATATCAAAGAACAGGATTCATTGTCGAGATTTTTTTACTATTTAAAGGAAGATTTTTGCGTGGTCATAAGCAGTATTAAAAATAGAAAAGCTTCATTTTTAGGGTTTTCTCCAATTTTCCAAGTATCGTCAGTGAGAAGAACTGGGAAATCACCGAAGTTTGTGCTGATTCCACCGCTTGAAGTCACAGCGTTTCCGCTAGTAATTTTGAAAACTTCAAAAGCCACGCTTCCTATAGAAAGCGATTTTTGGACTTCGAGGAGTTCCTTTACCTCAGATACAACATTGAGCACAGAAGACGAAACCAGTTCTGCTGGAACATTGCAGCCCATTACAAGAATCAACCCTCCAAACAAAGGAACGATGACTATTGATCAGTTATTCGGATCAAGTTTGAGATCAATAACGATATTCAACACGACGTTCGATGAAATTCAGTCAGAAAGGACAAATGAAGGGCATTTTACATCAGAAACAAATGTGCCCGAGGAAAAAATTACAACGTCAGAGACAGAATTAACCTCAACACCATCATCTGCTGGATCCGAAGAACCAAAATCAACAACTACAAACATTTCAACATCAGACTCAGAAACGACGCCGAAGCATACGGAAATTACGACAACGATGACAATGACTACAGAGAAAACAAGTGAAACTTCAATAATCACATTGTCGCCAAAGTACACGGAAACTACGGCAATGGAGACAACAACTGCAGAAGAAACAAGTGAAACTTCAATGATCACATTGTCGCCAAAGTACACGCACACTACGACAATGGAGTCAACAACTGCAGAAGAAACAAGTGAAACTTCAATGATCACAACTACTCAAGATACACAATCAACAGTTGAAACTTTTTCACCCTTCTCTCACGTAGAAACAACTACTACACTGAGTACTGAGAGTACTTCGGAGCTTTCAAGCGAGACAGTTCAGGAATGGAGAACTGAAACCATTTCTTATTCTGACCTGGTGCTCGATTCTGAGGATGATACTTCATCAACTGTGGGAATCACGACAAAAATATTCACAACAGAAACCATAACATCCACAGAAACGTCTTCAGCAAGTTATTCTCCATCTGCAGCTGAAACAGAAGATGCAGGAACTACTACGGAAAGCGATCTTCCGACAACAATAAATACATTTTCTGCATCTGAAAGTTCAACGCCACAAAAAAAAAATAAACATGAAGAAGATTCAATTTCTTCTTTTCCAGTCAGTTCCACGATGAAAACCAATGCAGAAGAAACAACTGTGCAATCGACATTTGCGGAGACTGAGATTCACTCTACGGAAGATCCACTTTTTTCCACTGAAACACAAATGCAAAGGCTCCAAACCGATGAAAGTTCCACTTCAGAATTGTCAAATAATAGTTTTATGGAAGACATTACAGAGAAATTGACAACGTCCACCGAAACTGCGTCAAGCAAAGGCGAGGAAACTCTTTCAACACTTGATTTAATCTCTTTGTCCGAAGCAGAAACTACGATGGCTCAAACCAGCAAAAGGATTTCAGCAGAGGTCCCAGAAATCAGCACAAATGAAGAACTCGTCACAACCCCAAGAACAGAGACATTTTCTGCAACTACTAGGGACACATTTACGCCTTTACAAAATCTCACTGGAGAAACTCAAGCCACTCATGGAATCACTATTGCAATTCTATCAACAACAGCAGATCAAGACGGTATTATTTTTAAAAATACAATTAATTATAATAAGATCATACGCTTATGTAAAGGAGTTATGAATTAAATTTTCTCATTCATGTCACAGAGACTAAATCTAGTCAACCTGCATCAATGGAAACACCTCAAATGGAAACATTTCAAACTTCGACGGAATCATCTGCAGAAAAAACGCAGGATCCAAACACTGAAATGATGACTGAAACTTCTTCAAGATCTAGCCTGAGAGCAGAAACTTTGAATACTGAGCCCACAGAAACTACTGAAGAGCCTACATTTACATTTGCCTCAACAACAGCTGCAGTTTCAACAATAGTCAAACGTTCTGTGAATCCTTTCCTGGATAGAAACTTCACTGAAGCATATACAACTCCGGCATCCTGGAAAACAATTTCCCAGTCAGATGAAACGGAATCAACGCTTTTAAATGTGACTGATGACACGACTTTAATTGGGGCCGAAACATCTTCAATTTCAACAACAACGACTGATGAAATTGTTGATAAAAGTGAATCTGCATCCGGTACTCTACTTTCCACAAGGGTTAATCAACAGACTGAAACTGTTAGTGCTTCCGAAACTGAAACAGTATCAAGAATCATCAAAAGGAACACCAATG